AAACATTCATCTCCAAGAATCCAGAAATTTGTCCAGTATCGTAACCAAAAATAAATCCACCCATTGCAACCAAGATGGTCATGAATATAGTGCGCAGAGTGATGGAAGGAACATGGAGATTTTCGTATTGTTGAACACCCTTTTCGGAATTGCCATTGAAAGCCCTGGCTCCAGTTGTGGCTTCCATCGAGTTATTTCCTGAATTGACAACCGTTGATGGATGGCTGTTGTCGACACCGCCATTGCGATTGCGACCAAAGCGAGCCATGATCACTGATGATTAACGAACACAACGTGAGATCGACTTTGCTAGAAATTAAAGTGTGTTCAGAAGTTAAAAATGATAGAGAAAGACTGATCGAGGTAAGACTTATGAAACAAAAGATGGATGTAGAGGAGGGGAGGTTGTAAATATATCTTTATGTGACGTCTAGTCTAACCATGAGACTAGAACTGAATGGGCATCCGCTCGCTGCTCGGCCTTGTTATTCCTCGTGTCAGATAATGATGCTAGATTGAGATGAAAAAAATTACCCAATTAGCAGAGTTTTGAGACGGGGGTAAGCCGAGTCTTCCTGACTCTTCACCTCTGGCGGTGATATTTCACTAACATTTTGTGTTAATCCCAGGTCCGAAAGGTCACAAGGAATTCATGACAGGGAACGATAAAGTGTAATTGTTGGAGTGGTTTTGAGACTAGCCTCCATATGGAGTTTCTGGAGTCCCCAAGGATCCATAGAAGGTGGTCCATTATTCGAAAAAATTCTGGTTGATTTTTAAACTCTTAGTGAAATGGATGAATGGGCCAAGAAATGACGTCGTTCATAATAGTTTGACCCTTTTTTTACGAACGGCCCGGATATTTACCATTGAGCGGGTGCAATTCCATAAGGAAAATCCCCTGAAAGATCCATTTATCTTAATGGAAACTCCAATCAATTGGCGCGTGTTTTGGTTTGAAAATCAAGTCGACACCCACAATGGCTGAGTATATGGAGATATGGAGTTTTGGAAATTTGAACGGTCCTTTTCTCGGTGACATTATCTCAGCATCTGGGTAGTGGTGAGTAGTTAAGTCTCTCCTGTTGACGTGTCCAAGTCAAGTAATTTGATTGATCATCCACAGGAAGTAATTGAGATAGTCTTTCCCTTTTCATACGGGGTATCGGGGACTCCATGGTTGGAGAAATTGGAGTGCAGCAATCGGGTTACAATTGGAGATTTGGGGAATTTGGAGGACCTCGGGAGTGGATACCAAGTAATTCAAAGAGGCGTTGCGGGTGTGGCGTCCGACTACATGAGAAGATGACGTTCGATAGGGTGATGGCCAAAGAATTAACTTTTGCGACATCATCAGATTAATCGATAAAGAAGATTGGAAAAATAATTTTCCAAACGACGTGAGCCATTGGGATTCTAAAATTTTCGATCGAAACACGCTATTCATATAACTGAGATACTAGCCCAACGGTGAATAAGAAAAAGAAAAGGAAACAGTACCAGAGACTACTACAATCAAAAAAAAATCCCTTCTAGTGAGTTTCGCCATCTGGAAATTACTGGGTAACGTCGTTTACTTCGTACCTACTACCCACCTAGGTACTTAGTCGGTAGACATCAGACCTCATGATTTTGGAACGGAATCCGGAATGGCCGGATCGGATCGGAAATACGCATGCTCGTATGTACGGGTATGTAAGCAATTCCATCCTATCTCGATTGAGATCCATCCAGCTTGAATGGAATTGGAATCGGGTGTTTGTGCGCAAAGATTCCGGTGTCAATCGGGGTATACTGCGGCTTATTAACCCAATTACTTCTCAAACGTGGGGGATCATTTTTCTCGAGGTGGGGGTGATTGTGGAGTGAGGAGAAACTTTTTACCTTAGAACCGACGCACGTGAAGGAGGTGAGATAACATCGTCGTCATTCACCACGTATATATATAAACTAACATATAAATTAACAAGCCAGATGAATGAGTTACCGATGTCTGGAAGAATTATTTGTAGCTACATGGCTGTTGACCAACCTTTGTTCCATGTTCAACGAAGTCAATCTTTACCCCCTCGACTTGTGATATTCTGGGGTAGCTCTCTTGCCATCTTTGCGGGAGGGAAACGAGGTGATCAATAAATTATGGGAGATCTAGTTCTGTACTGAATCCCATGTTGATGTTGGTATTTGTATGTCTCTGTCAAACCAAACTTGGGGAGTGACAACCTGGAGAATGACAACCTAGGGAGTGACATTTACAACAACAAAAGTGGTGCTCTGACTTGATTCCTCTCATCAAAAGGTACTGGAAGCTCACTTACACTTGTGAAATGTAGACTTTACACATTCGCCCAGTTTCATTTTCCCTTTTATTTTCCCTTTTATTTTCCCTTTTATTTTCCCTTTTATTTTCCCTTTTATTTTCCCTTTTATTTTCCCTTTTATTTTCCCTTTCATTTTCCCAGGAAGCAATTTCGAGCATCGATAAGTATCTCCCAATCTAAAGGATATACAGAGTACGAGATCCTCAACAACTCCCCTCATCTTATGCGCCATCATCCAGACAAAGAAGCTCTCAGAAGAAACTTCTCAACTTAAAACTCTTTCTTCACATGGTTATATCATGTGGATGTGCCTCGATATATTGATAAGACTGGAAGCCAAGGTGGAAGTATTTCATGAACACGCAGTGAACGATCCTTCCACCAGTTCCACCGTTCAGGTGACATAAATCTTGAGATGAGAAAGGGAACGATTTGAAATATTCGGTCCGCACCGAAGGAAAACGTCCTGTCGATGTTTTGATTTAATTGAATAGGTGAAGAGGCAAAACTCTAAATATATTTTTCCGTTAGATGGGGTATGGTTGATGATGTTTTGCATAGATAAAGACAATTCAATCTCGAGACTTTCCAAAGTTCATTGTCAGTTGAGTAACGAGAAGGACCTTTTCAGAGTGTACTAACCACATAAATTTATCATCCACAAAACCGTTCTATTATTTGAGATTTCGACTACGCATGTGTGTCAATATCCACCAAACAAATCCATTCGTATGAAGATGCCCATACAACCCCATAGAGTGATGAAGAAAAGTAATTTGAAACTCGTGTGAAAATCTACTAGGTATTCAGGCAAAATGTATGGATAAATCCTTCGTTTAAAGTCTTCCCAAAGTATTTCTACAATGTCTTTATATGGTGTAACGTACCACCAAAATGTGAAATCTATAACCTTACGCCGCTGATCTGCATATGGAGATGTCATTCTAGAACTCGTAGAATTCATTCTAATTGTCATTTTCATTCAATGTGTCACCTTCTAGGACTACCAAGTCTTTTGTCGATGTCAAGGATCTAAAAAGCTTGGTGTTGTCGAACTTGACTAGTAATCTTATTCTCTACTAAGTAGGTACAAACGGTAGGAATTGTAGGTCTATTGATCTAGGTAAGCAAGTCCAAGACGGGACATATGGATATCAACATACATGTATACTCTACCTATTTAAGTGCATGTATGTGAATTACACGAAGAAGGGTACGTTTCTAATGCCTCGGTATGAGTAGTCTAACTTTTATATATACCGTCTCCCCTCTCAAAAATGATACTTTTGATCAATTCGTGCGTCCTCATAGAAACAAACAAGCAATATATTGAATGGGAAGTGTTCGGGGATTAATTTGTTTGAATCCTTTGCCATAACTATAAAAAACGAAATATCCATCTATTTTCTTACCTATCGAGATTATCATTGGCGGAAGATTATTACCCCCTGGCTACCGACCAATTTTACCTCCACTTCTCCAAATTCCCCATCTTTTGGCATTCCCCTTAGTATTTCCCCCCAGTTCAACATCACATCTAAACCTATCGCCGTCAAATTTATATGCAGGGTCGCAAGGTTCCTTTTAAACAAAGCTGCTTTGTCGGTGGAACAATCTTCACCGAGAGTGAGTTTGTTATCTTTTCTATTTTTCCATACCCGTTGCCATTCAATCCAAGGACGAGATTTCTTTCTCTTTTTCCACATTGAACTTGGCATGAGATTGCATGAGAATGGCTTGAATCTTACTCGCTACTCGATCGATTAAGGAAAAACACACACCACTACCAACACCAGGGGGGCAAACTCAATCTAAAGAATAAGAGATTGATAGAGAGAAAACGGTATCAACACACACAAGTGAACGAAGCAATCGCCCTATCGAGCCTGTCTCCAAAATCCTATCAAGATCATAACTCCGTCTACCATTCTTCATTCTCCGTTGCATGAACTTCTTCCAATAGTTCATCACTTCAATCAGCCCTCTTTCTGAACCACCCCCCCTTCATCCCCCTTCCAAAACCTAATCGAAAACTCTCCGGCGAAATTTCGATAGCCTCTCGAACATTTCCTAGCAAACCAACGAGCTCCCAATAAGTAATCGCAATCACATCACACCACACCACACCACATCACGCCTCAATTCAATTCAATACTATATTGCAGTATAGTGCATGGGAATATCTGATATCACTCTTACCTCCCATACCTCTTCCTCTCAAAGTTGGCCCAGAATTCTACTTTCTCTTTCAACTCGGATGTCTATCACTGTCACTCCCGCACTTTTATTTAAGAATCACGGGCTGCCATGTAGTACAGAGGAATTTAGTATGAAATCGAATTAATCCTAAACTTGAGATTATTGGACTTATACATACCTACAAAGGTACATACATTAATATCGCAAACAAGATATTAATTCCACTTTCAAACTTCAACTATCGCCAACCCCGATTTTAATTCTCGAAGCTACCATTCATATTGCGCCTTCGATAGTACCTCATTAATATTTTCCCGCCAGAAATATTTTAAGCCTGTTTACCCAGGTACAACACCATCCTCTTCACACCTAACAACCGGCAAAATTCTTCGTCAAGAAGCTTTCGTCCGAAATTCTGAAGGCCGTCAAGGACTTCCTCAAAAATTCTCCAATCTGTCAATTATAAATTCCAGCGAATCCATGGCAACCAAACAACAACAATCGTCTCCGACGCCTACACGGCCGAAGAGCACAAATGGAATTATTAATGGGAGTAAAGCTGGTATGGGAGATGAAAGGATAGTTGTAATTGTTTTTGGGCAAGGTCAAGATAGAATTGTTCCTGTTTTCGCGGATGTACTCGGGAAACCGCATAGGATGGCCACCAGCTTTTCGGATGTTGGAGAAAAAGATCATGGAACTGTTATAGGAATAGCAGCAAGTGACGCAAAGGGTGATATTGAATCCCGAAATCGTTCATTAATCGTCGCCATTAATGCTCATTGTGTGGCTTTGGGGATGCCACCAGATTTAAATTTATCGGCTTCAACAGATTATGAATTTCTTTACACAGAGACACCATTTTTCCGAAGAGATCTTTCACGATTTATCGCATTCATTTTGGGTCAGATAAGTCATCATGAAGCACTCATCAAGAAACCAAGGACTTATTTCATATCTACCACGTTCCCAGATGTTCGGACAGCATTATCTAATTTAGATATCCTTTCAGTTGGAGCAGATGCAGTAGAAATTCGCGTCGATTTGCTAAAGGAAGGTCTAACTGATGGAACGTTCAATTCTGTACCAAGCTTGAGTTACGTTGGGGAACAAGTTATGCTACTGAGGCAGCGTACAGAATTACCCATAATTTTTACGACCAGATGTACGAGGGAAAATGGTCGATTCCCCATGGACAATCCAGAACTCTATTACGAATACCTCTACCGAGCGATACAGTGGGGATGCGAATATATTGATGTTGAGGTTTGGTTACCAGAGGACATTAGAAAAAGATTGTTTGAGCAAAGAGGAAATAGTAGGATCATTTCGGCATTTCATGACTTCTCTGGAACATTCAAGTGGCCATCGCTTCAGGCTCAAAACATCTTCCAAGAGAGCCGAAAATATGGAGATATTGTCAAGATGATTACCATTATTAATTCTATGTCTGAGAATTATGAACTCGAGTACTTTCGTTCTCAAATCAAAGCCAACAACCCTGATGGACCACCATTATCTGCCGTCAACATGGGACAACTCGGACAATTGTCTCGTGCTCTCAATACAGTCTTTTCACCTATCACTCATCCTTTGCTCCCTATCGTCGCGGCTCCAGGTCAAATGAGTGCCGCGGAGATTAATGGTGCCCTAGCAACCATGGGTCAACTGCCAAAGAAAAACATTTACGCCATCGGGACCTTCCGCACCACTCCTCAAGCAACCTTCTTCGAGAAATGTTTCAATGAATTAGGGTTACCACATAATTTCGCATCATTAGACCGAGGTGTCAAAGGATCCGTCGAAGCTTTCTGTTTACAGCCCAATTTTGGTGGCGCATATATCAATCCACCTCTTCCATCTTCACAACCATACATACCTATGCTCACTGATGCAGCGCGTACTATTGGTGCTGTTGATACTATTGTTGTAAGAGGTGAAGGACCATCTTCAACTTTCATAGGGGATAATGCGACATGGAAAGGTATTCGTGCAACTCTTACACGTGATTTCGCACCTTCGGCATATAAAGATAGAGCTGCTATTATTTTATCGAGTAACGGGGAAGATGCCGCATCGGTAATATTTGCCCTTCGGAGCCTTAATATTGGAAAAATCTATACAATTGGGTTTAAGGCACATGGACCTTTGGCGGCGGGTGTCGAGTCTTTCACTTCAATGGAAAGTGTTACGAAGTCTGACATTCCATTTGCGATAATCTCAGCTTTACCACCCGAGAAGACTCATTTGGTACAACCTCTTCTCAGATACTTTAATGGAAGAGATTCTCGCGGGCAAGGAAAAGTATTCGTTGATCTTGCTCATGGACCAAGGAAAGGAGATCCATTGGCTGTCGCAGAAGGGTGTGGATGGACAGCTTATGGAGTTGCTGATACGAGTGCCTTTACAACAGTAGAGACGCTGAGATTATTGGTCGGACAAAATGTCCCATATAGTTTTGTTAGGTTAGCAAGTGGGAGAGGTTTATACTGATTTCTCGAAAGCCAGCGAATTCGCCTGTGGGTAGGCTGTATATGAATCTGGAAGTAAGAGCGACGCGCTTGTGATGATATCAGTGCATGGTGTGGTGTTCTCTCTATTTTTAATGAGGCAGGCGTTAATGAGTGGTATACAGTGGGGCGAAAGCGCGAATATACGAACGAGGTGAATGTAGATGAGACTTGAGTGTGCGGGTGGTTTCATTGATTAAATTATGAATTTGTGCACTCTCAGGTGTAAAGAGTCGGGAACATGTTTAGACTGAGGGCTGAGGACTGAGGACTGAGGGGTTGAGGATTGAGGGTTAAGGATTATGAATTGAAAGTTGCATTGTCTTTTTATTTTATGGAATTTAGTCTTTCAATTAGATGCAACGATGTGGAAGACACAATATAATCAATACTAGGTATACTCGGATGTTAAGTTTCTCACTGGCGTGTTTTCCACCAGTACTACGTGCTTAATTGAATTTATGGATATTGGGCAAACTCATTTATCACGCATTTAGACATTTACTTTTCTTCTCCGTGCAATTCTAGTTACAGTATTATCTCCGCCCTTTTTCGCTCTCGTAAAATACCCATCATGAAAACCCCCACTACCAGTCATTACCCCGCCTTTTTGCTGTGGCAGTAACCTTACCTTGAGAGATATTTTTGTAGTCTCAATATTTAAATTTTTTGTCGCCCATACCATCCCATCTTTTTATATCATCCGATACTTCATTAAAAACTCCTCTCGTGATTAAAATGATTTCTTGAAATAAGTACTTGTAGTATTTGTACGTCGTTGTTTGGGAAGCGGACAGGAGGGTTTCCATTGAAAAGCGGGGTAGATCTCCCAACCTATCTTTCAAACTCACTGCACTGCTTTGTAAGGGAACAATTTAGTGCATATTAAATTCGTACCTTCGACGATCTGGAAATGGTTTTAGAACTTGGGAGCCTCAAACTACTCAAAATCTACTTTTCCAAAACGATTATCCTCGAATTTGAAATATATTCCACCCAAAATTTAATTGCCCCTCCTCCACTCTCTCTCCCTCCGGCTCGACTCAGCAAGCAACATCTATTGCATCTCTTTCTCGCCCTCAGAAGATACAAACCACAAAGGCTAGCTACAGGCTAGCTATGGTGCCAAATTTCTTAATACCTTTCACCATCCCGATCTTAAGTCTCTACTTTCACTTTCCGCTTGTTGAGCACCGTAATTAATGTTGAGACTTTTCTGCTTGTGAGCATAGCTTCAAATTCCGGAATATCTTGACTCAGGAATTGACCATTACTCACTCCGGCATTATTGAGAACATCAATAACTTTGACCGGCATAAAGGCAAAACGAGATTATGGTTAAATAGGAGAGAATGAGGCTCGTGTCTGAGATGAAAATCGAGCTCAGTCGACGGCCAACATAGTTAATCACACGCGCGCAATTGATGATCGTCTTGAATTTGAGGACTATGATGCTCTCGGAACCTTACAAAAAGAATTCACAAGGTTACCTAGTATTCTTGACTGATGAAGAAGCTCAGTAAAGGAGCAGAAAATGGCGATATCGAATAAAATTTAAAGGCGCATCGGTCCATCAATTCGAGGGTTTGAATCAAGAGGTGAATTCTTGTCTCTTGCAGTTTCTTCAATTATAGAAATCACACCATTAACAATGCTCAGCTGTGAATGATTAAAATGATATCTCTCCAGTAAATTTCGAGTATTTGACGTATTGAGAACCTCAGGAGGTTAAGGGGAAAACGGGTAGGACACAGAAATCAAGTCAAGTTCAAGGCAAGATTACTCTCTTCACTCGAGGTTTCAGATGCGCGTCTCTACTGCGCTGCCTCATTTGTTTCCCTCCATTTAAAATCTCGCAATTTTCAGATAGCAAAAAATATGGACATCGTACAATAGCTGGTCGGCGATATTGCGTTTAGGTTTACGACCAGCATCACTTACTTTTCCTCGACCTTTGATGTAACTCCTGGATGTGAACAATCATGGCTTGAAAAATACATCATTTGATACTCTTTACTAATTACAAAGTCCAATTGATTTTAATACCAGAGCGAGAGCTTAAACCTTGAGAGAAAGGAAGCGGCAATAGGCTTCTCTCGCCCTTCATTTCTAGCTTTTGTCGCTCCCATAGTGACTCAAGATTAAATACCATCATTACGAGTAAGGTGCTGGGAACACAGTCACTTGACTTGAAGAAGTAAGAGTTGTCTTTGGCACATGGCAGAGGAAGTCAAGCATAAGTCTGACAACAGGGTATTATTCCAAGAGATAGTGAACCTAATCAACTTTGTAAATTAAAAATACCTGTCAAAGTATCTCAAATGCAGGATATATTGAAATTGAATGAGGTAGTTGATAACGTCCTTTCACCCTGATCATCTAATACGACCCGAGTGTCTTTCGCACGTAAAAACTCAAATTCATTCGAGTTAAGATCCAAGGGACGAATACGTTTGATGAGAATTGCATAAGACTTGAGGCTGAGTTCCAACCCAATGAAGCCTTTGAAGAATTATCAGACCATCAAATACCTAGTAATATCACACATATAAGAAATAAACTTTACTGTACTACAGCTAAAAAAAAAACACGAATTCTGTGGTAGAAGATGTGTGGTAAGATATTGATCACGAGGTTCGTAAGTGGCAGGTCGAGGTAGACCGCATCCCTATCAGGGAATAATTACATTATTTGAGACAAGACCTTGACAATAGCTGAAGCCGCGCGAAGTGCATAAATCTGGGGAAATATGGGGTATTATCCAAGATGACATGCGCATGCGAATTTAATAAAACGTATTTTATTGATTTGTAAAACCTGCAAGTACTTAACTTGAGATTGGTGGGAAAAGTAAATTGTCTGAGACCATTAATGGTTAAATGAATATACCCTTATTAGTTGATAAAATATTGACAAAATTTGAGATGAAGATTGATACAAAATCGATACCCAAAGTCATGGCTAGGATCTCAAGTGTAAGTCTAAGGTCTCGTCGGGGAGGAAAGAAAACAAGAAGAGGAGGAAACGCCAATATACTTGTGATGTCAATAATTCACCCTCCGAGATTGTTGTGGTGGGTTCAGATCACTGCGGAGAGAGGGTGACGGACCGAACCGACCGTGGCATTTTCTTGTTTGAATTAATCGTTGAAATGAGTGCGAATCATAATATACGGGACGTCGGCCCCATTTCATATAAGTGCCGTGCCGTCTGTCATATGTGAAGTTGAATGGAAAGATTCAGTTCTATGATACTTATCTATAAGAAGAGATGAAACCTTTGAGAGGGGCTTTTTCTTGTGTTTGCTTGTATCTTACTTGGCAATTTTGGTTGACGGTGTATCCTCTTTCTGTATGTACAATTCTTAGTTCTTGGGGAGCTCGGGGAAGTAGGAGGTGAGTCACCAAAATTGTTGTAATAAGCGGGATGAAGTCTTTCTTCCATTTTGCCTGATCCGCATATTTAATGACAATGTTACAGAAGAAGAGCACTGGGGAGTTGAGCATACTAGGTAATCATGCTTCTGAGCCTCTGTCATCGTCTAGATATATTCCTTCCAGTACCTCCATATGAGCTTTTGCATGAATCTCGTCTCAACCTGGTTAGTGATATGAGATAAACAAAAGTGGTAGATCATGAAAGTTGGGCATCTCTGGCGCGTGAAAGAGATGTGATATGTATTTTTACCTAGGTATACGGATGTATTGTCCCGATTTGTATTGGGGAACTTCAGACGATAGACCCTGAAATGCCCAATGTGATGTTATCCGATGCAGGTTATCCGAATGCTACATGGAGCATCATACACATATCTCTTACTGTTGAGCTACGAGTCACGACCTTGGGGATAATGAAATACCCTTACACGTACTAGGTATGTTCAAGTGCACCGTTTGCGCCTCTGATGAGGTGAGCCAGGGTCCTCCGAGAAATAATGGATGTCTCCTGCATGACGGAGCAGCTACTCTTTGAAGCTTCGTGCGTGCTGGGGGATGGTTATTTGGCAACTCGATTCTATGATATACTTTGGATCGGCCCATAACATGTAGATCTTCGGGAGTGATTCGGGAGTGATGCTATCGTGTAAAGTTGTGAACGGATAGTTGAGTAGCATCCTTATCCGTGGTATGAAGATTACACAAGAGGGGACGAGACGGATAATGTCACACCTCGTATCACGATTAATCAAATCGCGGTAGTTGATTCGTATCTGCACCATTCAACTGACTCGATTTTGTCCCAGAGAGAATTACTGAATTACTGAACCCCAGACACTTCGGGAACACAGACCATTGAAAAAGGGTCACACAGTAATATAAAAAAAAACGTGTTTCTGGTGTGTTCAAAAGGCAGTGAATCGGTGATGCTGGGTAGAAGTGGAGTGGCGCTTTGCATTTTGCGGGGAAGTTGTTTCAAATAGTCCAAATTGTAATTTCAATTTATATTGTTCCTCCTGCCATGCAGCATTTCTTTCCAACTTAATTTCAACATTTTGCATATGTTTGGATGTGAAGTTACAAGATACGGAATTACGATCATATATTCGAAGCATAAATCAAGTATTAAGATCGATGCACAACCTGGTTTCCCGCGACTTAATCACACAATTATTGATGAATGTTTTAGATGAGATGTATCGCTATCCACATATTTGATGGTTACATAGGCCAGGGAATAACTTTGATACGACGTTGTGATCTGTGATCTACTATAATTATCTTTGAACATCATTTCGAGATGAAGATAAGATATCACATTATTTCCCAACTTCTCGAAACGTTAACATCTCGGACATTTCAGAATGACGGAAATTTCCCGAGGCTTGCATCTCGAATCTTCGGAGGAAACATTGCTATTTGGTTTAGTCGTCGGCAATTTGAAGAAGTGACTCGGAAGCATCGATGGTTTAAGATGGATGGATGGATGGTAATTGAGGTTACATTCAATCTTTAATCTCCATAAAGATGTAATTTTTTTTTCTCCATGAAAGTACTCGTCAGCATGGCTCGCATTGGCGCATTGAGATGATCTAAGATGATTTCGGAAGCGAAGCCGTTGAAGATGAGACTAGGGGGAAAATTAGAAGCTTTTCGGATTTCTACTTGAGAGTCACTACCCGTTGGCAAAGTCTTGATTTTGTAGTCTCAGAGGTTAACAGGTTCACAGTCTCACCATTTCACAATCTAAAAATGCAGGCGCTCCAATCATTGATGTTATGTCATCAATCATGGAGCACAACGAAGCTTTACATAGAGCTTAACTTCAAATATGCTTGGCAGGACCGTAAATCCGCGAAGAATAACCTTCCTTTTGATTATAAATTCAAGGGGACTCGGGTCCAGAAATAACCCTAGGAATTAGCAAAAGGTAAAGTTGTGGGTTATGTGTTATGGCCCTTATGGGTTATGGATTTGACGGATGGTTTTGTTTACTCCTCTGTGGATAATGAGGGTTAGCCTCGGGGATCACAGGAATTTTGGACAAGTCATTCGACCAAGCGTCTAGCGTCTAGAATGTATAAAATTTAAGCTACTCCATATTTGGGTCTCAATTGTGGGGAGGTAAATACGTGATGAAGTGGGAGACCGAGGGAAATGTGAATAGTACCGGCCGGTACCGTTGCAGCGTGAAATAGCAATGCAGAAATGCAGAGATCTGACTGAGATTGGAAGATTCAGCGAGGTAAAGATTATAGTACGAGCATAGCCACAGTCCCAAATTCACGGAGTATATCAAAACGAGGGTTAGGTATTCATGTGAGAAAATTATAGGTGACTCGCAAATTATGCAGGAAAGCGCCGTAACTTTTTCTCTTCTAAGTAAGGTTATAGCTACCCTCACTTCAATCTTTCCTTCTCAATTTACCCCCTTTACGTCGGTTGGTTCACTTGATCATTACACCCTGCCATGGTAACATATCATTTTGACAGCAGATCAAGGACCAAGGTTGACCTAATCGAATTTTACAAGAAATCAAGGAGGGAGCCGAGAGGGGTGACTCGGGGGATTAGGAGTGGAGATGTAAGCTCATTACCTTGAAATTTTGTCACGGTATACTTACTACTGAATCCTGACTGACTGATCTTTTTCTAGGGTTCCTGGTGTTTGAAGATACGATACTAGTTAGGTACAGCGCAATGAGCGCTTGCAAACGACATGTGTGTTGATGAGGACGGCGAACCAGTTGTTGTTTTTGTTTTTCTCGTAACCCCAGTTTTTCAATTGATGTATCGGAGCCACGATCTCCAATATGGCAAGTGGTCCGTGGGATACTGCATTTACCATTTACTGCATTTGCACGTCTTTGCTATAAGTTCGATAGACTCATGATCATCTTGGTGTCTAGTATCTACAGCGTTAAGCAAACTTTCAGGTACCAGACAATTATCCTTCTTTCTCTTCACATCTTTTACTTTTACTCTTGCCCGAATTCCGGTTCGAGTCCAATCATGCATTAAAGAACTTTATCCTTCGTATTTTCCTACCTATTCGATGAATATCTATCTGCACGAAGGGATGGAACTTTGGGAGAATAGAAATTAAAGAAGAATGGCACATTCAAAATGAAGAATTAGATCATGATCATGACCACCACCACCATCACTATCACTATCATCATCATCACTACCTCCTCTGCTACCTCTACCAAGAAACTTTTGACAATGTAATACTACCTAGGTATCATTTGCACCGATGCACTAACAATCCCTGAGGATGCATACATGCGAGCATGCCTAGGTCGTAACAGACAGCTTTCCCTCTCTCTCTAGCTTCAACCTCCCCGCAATCTTCCCTACCAAAGTATCCAGAACATCCCCCTGTCTGTTTTTTTTAAACTGCTGTCGTGCCTCGCGTTTCTTCGAGAATCTTTTTTACTTTCTTACCAGGTACGATATTTCTGCATCTCTAAATAAGTGATCACACCCCCATCTTCCTCTTATGACAAGGACAAGGTGGGACGGCGCATTCGTTCTTAACCCTTAACATACAACCCTCATCTCATGCTCCCGTACTTTTGAGCTCAGTCATTTCTTCCTCACCGATACCAATCACTTCACACACTTCCAATCCTAGCTCATTCTATGACATTACCTAGTACTTACACATTACACATTACACATTACACATTACCACGAGCCGCCACGTCTAATTCCAATTATATACTTTCTTTTCCCTCTGCTTGATACTTGAATGAACACCCTCACCAAACTTAACACCATAATACATCAACCATCAACTGTCAGTTTGTCAATTTGTCAACTGATCAACCAAAATAGCCTGGAATATATCCATGAGAGCAGTGTTTCGGTCCATGACTATTCGATCATCTCTGTAATTGGATTACATTTGCAATTGGCGAACGAATAACGGTTACCATTACTTTGGGAAGCTCCCATCGACCCGAGAATTCGTCCAACATCCAATACCTAACCAAAAACCGGAGAGGATACGACGTACATACATAAATACATCATCCATTTGACCAAGTCTGTATCGGAAATTATTTGCTTACTTTCCCCCCCCCTCAAAACTACCACACTCGTAATGTTTTGTGCATTGCGTCTCGACCAATCTTTATGATGTGACGAATCTTATTATTACTGTACAACAATAATTTCTTCTTTCGCCTTTTCTTGTCGCCTTGGAATTTCCTTTCGATACCATGTCTGGAAGGCCAGCGCAAGTTGGAATTGAACGATTACCAGCACGACGTATGAGCAACGAACCACGAGAATCGATGAATTGTAAATCTTGTAGAAAGAGGAAGGTTGGTTTTCACTGTGCTTCTGCTTAGGCGCAATTCTTCCGAGATACTAAAAGGTTTTCCAGATAAAGTGCAATCGGTTGCGACCGACTTGCGAAGCTTGTCAAGTCTTCCAATGCCCTTGTATTTATGGTGGGGTTTACATCATTCAAGAAATTCGAAATACATAATCCTAACTTTTCTCTCTCTTAACAGATGCTGTCCCCAAGAAGCGTGGACCTAAGACGGATGTATTGGAAGCTTTATTAAAAAGAGTCGATGGATTGGAACGAAAATTGAGAGATGAGAAAAAATCCAATTCTCCAAACAATGATGGGAGTGCTTCTGGTTCTGGTTCTGGTGGGGGTGAAGTGGAAAGTCCTAATGAAAATACAAAACCAAAACGACCTCATCTGGAGACAACCATTTCAAATATTGCAGATGAATCCGCTGTATATTCTCCGACACCCATAAGGTACCTAAATCCCATCCTTACTCCTAGTTTTCTTTCCAATTGACGTATTCTCAGCGAACCCTCTCCATCAGTCCAACAAGATGTCCTTTTGGATACTTACTTTGTTCGATGCCATGGGAAATCTTATCATATACTTGACGAAACTTCTATTAGACAACGAATCCAGTCAAATCAAATCCCAACATATCTACTTTATGCAATCTACGCTGTTAGCGCAAGGTATGTTAGAATTGTTGGTTTACACATGACGATTGACTGACTTTTCAAGATATACTTCCCATCCAAATGGTTATTTTGCCGCCGTGAGATTAAGTGAAGATTACGCTCATCGAGCAAGGACGGAAGTAGACATCGACGAACCGTCTATCGATAATTTACAAGCTCTATTACTTCTTGGCATTTCTTATACAGCATCTGGAAGGGGGAAAAAGGCATACATGATGCTTGGTACATGCCTTCAATAAATTTCAACCACTAAACATTTCGCTAACTGTACATAGCGAACGCCATTGGAATGGCTGTTGCGCTAGAACTCCATCGCGAACAGGATCAGAACCTACGAATTAGTCCTGTCGAGAGAGAATTACGAAGAAGATTATTTTGGACATGTTATTTGATAGACAGATTCACAGCATGCGGATCAAAACGACCATCATTAATTGCCGATAAATCTATTGTGTTACGATTACCATCTTGGTCACCCAATCCAGCCGCTCTTCCCGTCGAAGGAGAGTTCTTCCAAAGTGGTTCAAATCTTCATTTCGGTAATGGCAAGAAGAGCCAAGGAAGCACTGGAATGCTCATAGATATTGTGAGAATATTAGGAATTACTAACCGCTATCTCGCAGCTGGCGGTGTGAAAGGCAAGTTGTGCAACGATCATTTTTGTTCGATAATTAATAATTGTACCAATACTGACTATCATGTTATCAAAACAGGCGACTCTCATTTTCCATGGCACTCATTATCGAACCTGTCGAAAATTCGCCAAGACTTAGATATCTGGGCAGGCGGTACACAGGATGTCTTTACATCTGTTGATACACTTTTTGGGCAACCAGATAGTACAACTCTAGTCCTCAGCAAACTTATCTATCATCTCATACATTGCCTCATATATCGACCTTTTCTTCCCATCGATCTTGCTGAGCTAGCTGGAACCGGTCAACATCAATCTTGGCAAATTGAAGCCACAAATCTTTGTTTTCTTCATGCAAACGCGATCGCCGAATTGGTAGAGCTCGGAAAACAATCTGCATCGATAGAGTGGCCCGCATTTGTGGGATATTGTATTTGCACCGCTGGTACTGTCCATGTTCATGGGGCACATTACAAAGGCGGCCGTGAAGGTGAAGTCTTCTCCGCTTCTGCCGATTTTCTTTCCAGGGAGATGCAACAGCTTTCTGAACTTCGATATGCATGGTCCTCAGTTCAGCATCAACGAGAAACTCTACAGACTATCTATGGATGTCATTCCGATCTAGTGAAAAGTCTTGGAAGTAACCCGATGCGCTTTAGTCCAGTCTTTCACCTGGAAGACTTTTTCGATAGGTATAGTGATTTGGGCCAATACTTTGATGGTGCTCATATCAGTTTTGCGGATGTGGTGACACCCAATCCTGAAGCATACCAAGGTCATGACCTTTATGCCCCGACACAATCAAATAGGAATGGTTCTATGAATGGGGGAACTGGCTCGAATGGCTCGAATGAATCAACTACCATTACTTCCAAACGCAAATCTTCATCATCTGCACGAAAACGTGCTCTTACCAATAGTCTAAAAGAAAGACCTTTAATGTCACCGAATGGAAGATCGGTTGAACAATTGCCACTACCACAAAATGGTTTACTCGGTCATGATCCGGCATCTTATTCCAATCAAGGAAGTTCAATGACTACACTTCCACAAATACCCTTTTCCCCACCTAGTCAGAATCAATCGCAACCGTATACTTTTTCACCATCGCTCTCTCTGAATCACGGGCAAGAATCAGATTTTGATCCGATGTTTGGTATGTCACATCTTGGTAATGGTGGGAATTTTTCATTTGCAGGAATGGGTGGAACAAGTGGTGGCATGATGGGAGAAGAAGGCATGACACCAGGAGGAAGGTCAAATAATGGGAGTACTGGAACGAGTGGAGAGGAGAAAGATCCTTTCCTAAGCTTGTTGGAACAACTTGCAGAAAATGAACAACAAAGAGGTGGACCAAGCGAACTGGACTTTTTCTTGGGTGGTGGACAGGGTTGAAAATAGACCTGGCATACGATACATTATGCACGCCCATGGTTATTTTTCAAGACATGAATATTACCATCTCACGTGGTTGAAGAATTGGTACTTTGTCACATCATACTTGCTTGGTTGAAATAAACTGGTACGAACTCGTGGAGACGAATAAAAGGAGTAGAAACTTTCACGCGGGCTAAGGAGAGACGACAAAAGAAAGGAATCAAGACATATACGAGGATGGAAAAACAGGCTCGAAAGTAAAAAGAATGTACAGGGGATTGAGAGAATTGCATTGCGATTGAAAGTACCGGAGTTTGAGTCGGATCAATTTTGCGTGCGGACACGTACAGTACCATTGAGGGACATATGAAGGTTAAATGGGTGCAGGTGCAACTGGGGGAATCAGATGGGGAGTTTCTGGGTGTAGGTTCCATTACGGCGATATCTCACGATGGGAATATCTTACATGTAGTGAGCAAAATTGGAGGCGGAGGAAATTTTCATGCTCGCGATCACATCACACTCTAGGTGCAAAAGCGATGTTTAATACAAATATGTCTTCCAAGCACCAAGTTCATCTTGAGTGGTATTTTTGATTGTGACTGCCTGGAATTATTGCCCTTTTTCGGACGCTTCGGAAACATGGTTGCCCCTTGCTTTTCCCTGGTAGATGTAACTGATCAACCACTACCTAGTTTGAGCTCATGAATTGTGCAACAAATCTGTGAGGAAAAGCTTTCCCATGTATGTCCAAGATTTAATTCATGAAATGTTCGACCGTGCGAAGTTCTAACCTCCGAGCCTCCCTCGCCTGCTACATCCGTCGATTCTCAATTACAACCTATATGGAGTAAATGAATCGAACCACATAGTACGATCGATTGACTTTCCGGGAATCATGATTCGAGTTCTTCGTACAGAGTACAATGGATGCCCAAGAGCCTCACCAGTGTAACCTCGCTCCCGCCCCAAACGTCCCAGTTTGGAAAAATATACGAACACTCATCCCACTTCTGACATGCTTTTGCAAATTGTCCACCTAATTACCCATACGAGTTAGATACGTGTAAAACTTACACTTTTACTTCGACTGCACAGTGGACATAGTGGATGTACGTAGCCGTCCCCCACAAAATGGGGGCTGCAAGGTGAAATGCTGGGGATATTTAGTGTGGATGTTAACCTTGGATGAGCACGTGCTGAAAATTTAGGGTTCTTTTGAAAGAAAAGGTGGGAATCGGACCGATGGAGTTCCCTCTTTCAGTAGTTTATTTTTTCAAAAAGGAAAAACACGGTGTGTGATTTGACAGAGGGAGAGGGGCGTTTGGAGTATCAGGATTTTAGAGTCAAGAGGAAGCGAATAGATTTTTGATTGACAGATTTTACCCCGCCTTATGAGCGTTATCGGGGGGCGCTCGAAGGGGCGATGGATAGAATGTAAATACTAAGTACTAGGTATTAGGTATTAGGTATTAGGTACCGGTAGGTTAGATTAAATTTGGGGACAAGACGGCGCGGGGATTCGACCGGGAGGTGCGTGACCTACTTAGTACCTACATTGCCAGATCTTAGTATCTTACTTTATCTTGTAACGTTAGTAGGATTGTCTCATTATGGGTGAAGCTTGCGAGAAAATACAGAGTACTAGTTGGGGTATGTTATACGAAAGACAAAAATCTAGTCCAAAATGACTATCAGCACCGAGCGGATGTATAGCGGATCTTCGCATGTTGATTTTCAAATCGCGGAAGTTATGATGAAGAGAATGCCGATAGTATTAAGTTAATTAGCTAAGCCATCGAATCTGATAGGTAGGGTGTTTAGGGAGTTGGATGCTTTGGCAATTCCCCCATATATTTGTACCAGACTACCAGTCCCTAAATTCCGGTTCATTCTGTAAAAGGTCAAATCAAAGGTTAGTACTTTGTACATAGCGACTTGAAAATGTGGACGTAAATACTTATTAACTTGGTGAATCTATCCGTCTTTTGAGTCATGGAAGTATTCTCATTAAGGAAGAATTGTTTCATTAGAGATCATTGATTTTGATAGGCTCGGAAGACGACATAGGGGTATTTTGAGATGTGATATTGAAGGAGAAGATTATTGGAAAGAGGTACCTACCAGTATGATACGATGGAATGAAGTGAAGTGAATTATGGTGAAATCAAGCTATCCTTACTCGACGGAATTTAAAGTTTCGATAATATGCCTAAGCCTACCTACCTACATAGCATGACTTCAAACAATATGAGCAAGTATTGTCGTCTCAAGTTGCGAAATTGATCAATTCATTTCAAAAGTTTAATTGAAAAAAGGGTTTATGTGAGAATTATGTTGATATTTAAGATAGGTATCTAATGTCGATTGATCAAAGCCTTAGGAAGACTATTGGAGAATTCACCTAGGGATACTTGGGAGGTATCGGATGATTAGCAGGAGGTAGTTGCGAGATTATGTTCTATGCTCTCGTGAGTCTCATCTAATAATCATACACTATACCTGCCCTACATATCAAACTTCCTTGGCACTTATTGACTCAGGAACACTGTACAACTGGCATCTGCTTGCTTGACACCTGCTTGAAATCTCCATGTTACCACTTTGGGATGGAAAGGGATTCTCATACCTACACACAGGTGGACAATACTGTGCAAGCGAAAAGGATTTTGTTTGATAAGCAAGACATTCCTTTTGATTCTTAATCTTCAACCGTGTCAAAGTTTGATATCATTTTGACACAGGGAAATCGGGGATAAAAGATTCAAGGCATGCCAAAGTCCATGAAATATCGGAGAAGGCGAATAGATGAGGTAGTGCTCGGTGTAAGACGTACGATGTGATGTATACATGTATACCTAGTATTCATGATTTAAAAGCAGCAATGGAAAACTAATCTTGAAATGGTCATATAACTTACCTTAACCGAGGGATCGAAGTTTATATTCATTTACGTCACTTCTCACAAAACTCATCAACTTTTTTTGAATCCTATCGTCACTCTCTTTGAAACCCGAAAATCCCCTTCCCATCACCTGGGCATCTTTTCACGATTCACGACCTCTTAATGGTGAACAATTTATTACGAGTACTACCCGACCAAGTGGTAATTATAGATCAACTAATGACGAATAAGGTTTGGTGTATATTTAATCTTTGTTGATGCTGCTTTTTACTTGCTCACATGTAAGTTTGTCGACTTTTCATTGGAGATCATCCAATCCATAAGACTCTTGTAAGTGAGAAAGAAGGCTTTAACAAAAATCTCTTCATTTCCCAAGCTTCGCCCCATAAAGTTAACAAATCGGCAATGGCGTCCGAAGTACTGGAATTTGGCGATTCCAGGTCTTGCTATGTTCTGAATGGTTGATTGGATTTCAAACTTATTATTTTTGCCAATCTGCCAATAATGTTAAATCCCAAAAGTCTTGATGTGGGAAATACCGGGGTAAACGACCTCCTCGAACTACTAGCAAATGCCCACAAACGTGCGAGTGGGCACTTGGGAACCGGGAATCGGGAAAAGAGGATCAGTGTAGGTCATGATCATCTATACCTGACCTGTTTGTCCAGACTTTCCGCAGCTCAATCCACATATCGAATCAACTTCGACATACATCTACACCAAAACTTATTCAACAACAGAACTAATCATTACTACTTGTCCTCCGACACACTCACCACGATTCTAGCGTAGGACCATTTGCGCCGTATACGATCTCGAAAGCTGGTTGGCACGCACGAAAAGTAATCCCATCGAAAAACGAAAATTCGACATTGACGAATACGAATCAGCGAGTTCAATTGAACGCAGAGATTGGATCGCAGGAGGGGGGGGATACATCACAAATTGTGTTTGCTCGCCTCATTGGGAATACAATTGCGCGCAACTCTCACCGATCGGAAAAGTTGTACTTCAATATTATTTTGGTACATCAGAGGATGGAAATACGGAAATTGTTACATTCAACCTAGGAGTGGAAAATGACTTAGGAATCGAACTGGAGACGAACAAATTTGAGACGAAATATATAAACATACAATGTCAAGATCAATAGAGCCTGTACAATCGCGCAGTGATCTGGTTTTTTGGGTCACTACCATTACCTTTATTATTACGAGCATATTTGTTGTAGCGAGACTGGTTTCTAGATTCGGAATCTTGAGAAAGAGAACTCAGGATGACTGGTTTATTGTACTCTCTTGGGTAAGATAAGATTTCTTCCAAGGGAATAAGATGTCGAATGAATGGATTTACTGACGCTCATGGTTTCCTATGACAGTTTTTTGCATTTGGGTTAACTTTTTCGATTGATTATGCAACAACTAAAGGCCTAGGAAAGCCCGATCCTGAAATCAAGAAAGAATGGGGCCCTCACCTCAAAAAGGCGGAATACGCGTTTACAGTACTTTATGTGAGTCATGGTCGTTGGATCATGGACCGACTGCGCAATTTCTGACTTCTATTACAGAATCCATGTTTGATGGCGACAAAGACCTCAATCCTCATTTTTTACTTACGTTTAAGCCGAAATACTCAAAAGCTCCTGCGGTGGGCTTCATATATCACCCTACTCGTCACGGTTTTAGACGGCATCGTCCTTACTTTTGTCAATGCATTTCAATGCAGCCCCGTTTCTGGTGCATGGAGGACCGATACGAATGCCAAATGTCTATCGATTATCACCATCTATCTCGCATCAGCTCCTGTGAATATCATTACGGATTTAGCCATATTGGTTCTACCGATTCCTGTTCTCACCGGAATGAACCTTCCCCAAAGGCAAAAGGCGATCTTGGTTTTCACTTTCTCCTTGGGAATTTTTGTTACAATTGTTGACGTCGTCAGAATCTATTATCTACAACAAGCCTCGAATGACTTTCAAACATCCGTTTTAGCCCACTCGCGGCTCGGCGAAGGAGACGATTTTGCCTACAATGCCTCGCTTGCATTTATGTGGTCGGCTGTTGAGGTCAATGTCGGGATCGTATGTGCTTGCATTCCTACCTTGAAGCCACTTATGAAAGTAATACTACCAGCGATGCTTGCCGACCGAGTATCTGGAAGAACAGGATCGCACACCCGCACAGCAGATATCCTCGAGTCTGCGAGTCCACCTGTTGGTAGCCAGGGCCAATTAGCCACTGTGGATAATCATTTACCACCAAGAAACACCGCATTGACAGATAGTCCTCTATCACCATTGTCAGATACTCACCCTGGAGGTTATCGAGAAGACATGGAGCAGCAAGAACTCAACATGGCAGAATTCTTAACGGCTCCTTCAGCTATTGCCTTGGAAACCTTGCGACGAAATTCTACAGCACGTACAGCCAACACCACTTACTTTGGATTTGTCAATATGAGGGTACCAAAGTCAATGATGAAGACTCGTGGAAGTGAAGCTTTCAAATATTGCATCATGGTCACCATTCTTTTTTTTCTTTGGGGTTTCTCGTACGGATTACTCAATAGATTAAATCGCGAAATAGCAATACTAGCCAACTACTCCGACAGTCAAACCATAGGATTATCTGCCGCATATTTTGGAGGCTATGCCATTGGAGCCCTATCATTAGGACAATGGGTCTTGAGACATAGTGGTTTCAAAGCTACATTCATTACGGGACTTTGTATCTACGGGACTGGTACATTAATGTTTTGGCCCTCCGCAGTTCTAACATCATACACCGGATTCATACTGTCCAGTATTGTTGTTGGATTTGGTTTATCGATTCTAGAGACCGCCGCAAATCCATTCCTGGCTCTATGTGGACCAATGCAATACGCTGAATTTAGATTGATGCTTGCGCAAAGTATACAAGCCGTCGCATCACTTGTGAGTCAAACTTTGGCGGAGAAAGTTTTTTTCAATGGAGTACAAATTGAGGGTGCGAAACACTTGACTTTAATCGATGTCCAATGGGCCTACCTCGCGATTGCCCTCTTTACCGTCATCCTCGCTCTGTTCTTCTATTATATGCCTCTACCCGAAGCTAGCGATGACGACCTTCAAGCACAAGCGGAACTTTTCGAAATATACCCATCAAGAAAGTTACCCTGGACAGGCACATCAATCATTTATACGACTCTTGCCATCGGTGTTATCGCTCAGCTCTGTTATGTTGCAGCACAGGAGTGTATTTCAGAATTTTTTAAACCATTATTAATTTCATTTGTCCCTAGAACGGGTAGTTTTAAATCGTTCTTCTCACTAGATGACGATGAAGATTACCTACTTTTAGGTCATGGACTCTTTGCCATCGGGCGATTTGTTTTCGCACCTCTTTGTTTAGTGGTCCCGCCACGAATTCTATTACTTATTGCTTTGGTTTGCCTTACCATATTCTCAGCTTTTATCTTCGCCATCAACGGCATATCACAATCTTTTCTTGCTGCATCTTCTCTTTTGGTTTTTTTCTTTGAAGGTCCGATTTTCCCATTGGTCTTTTCTTTGACCATTCGCGGTATGGGAAAACATACAAAGTGGGCATCAGCTTGTGTAGTAGCATCGGCAACTGGAGGAAGTGTTTTTGTTTTTGTTCTTTTTGGTGTGCGAAAAATCCATACCATACAATATTCTTTTGTAATTCCCTTTGTATTGTTTTTGATAGCACTTTTATATCCGGTGTATTTGAATTTTGGTGGTGAAGGTGTGAGGCATCAAGTTGACCCAAAACCTGTGGTTATGGGTGGAGTTTGGTCGGGCAGTGAAGAAAGTAGAGGAGCTGGACAGGTGTCAAGAGGCAATGAAGATGATAGACCGGATACGCCTCTTCGCAGGTTAAGTCGTAGAGTGTCTGTTTTAGTGCAGAAGATGAGCCTTGCCGGGAGAAAGTGTAGCACAGAATTACCTATGGTAGAGCATAGGGAAACGAGAGGGAGGAAGAACAGCAGTGATTGATTGGCTTGGGAAACACAGGGCGTACTTGGGCTCGGTTTTTCTTTCTTAAATCTGATATTAGCGGGCGTTCAGGGTATCCGAGATGATCTAGTCATAGATAACCAGCTTTCTGGGTATGGGAGTCAGTGAATGGAAAATTTGGGCACGGAAGGATCAAGATACCCTCGATTATAATCGGGATAGCACAGGCTAGGGGACTTACAATCCATACATTACAAACAGCATTTTGGGTCAAGATATATTTCTTATTTGGTTTGGGGTTATCTCCCATTATCACCACAGGAGTTACGAATTTATTCATGTATCAATAGTTATATGTATTATTATTAATGAAGGACGACCATCATTTAATGGTTGATTGATTTACCAGATGTTTTGAATATACTAGTCGATTCTTGCATGCTTCACATTACCCCGCAATAATGGAATTCAAGACTCACGAATCATGAAAGATTAACAAGCGTATTCTAAATCCTCTAATCCGCCCTAAATCGAGAAAAGGCGACCTAAAATAATCAATTACCCCATTCTTTTATTGACATAATATAATCCTCCGTTCTAACTTCTAATCACCTACCCCGCCCTGCCTCGCACCTCCCGAAAATTTGGATGCCGCCTTTTACTTCCCCTCCCTTCCCTTCCCTTCCCTTCCCTTCCCTTCCCTTCCCTTCCCATTCCATCCTACTCCGCTCTTATACCTCCCTCCTCTCTCTTTTCGAAAAATACCGCACTAATTCATCTCTATCCTATCCCATCTCGCGATTCCCCTCAATCATCCGCATGTCCCCCTCCCCCATCTCCTCGCCGAAAAATCCCACCCCACCAAATGAATTCTCCAGAATCTACATTTCTCCAAAATTCTCCTATGCTCCCTCGCCGCCTTGCCCTCGAGCTTCCAAACGAACATGTCAATGAATCCCCCGTTTTCCCGCTGTACCCTCTGCGATTTCACTTACTCGCTAATCCATATGTCTAATGAACGCTCACGTTTTGAGGGATAGGACATTCCCCACCTCATGTATCATCATACTCACAACATCTTACACATAAATTAATCAAAATGATATATTTTTAAAAATCTCATTTATTCATCCAATCCCATCCAATCCATTCATTCTCATCACCGACTCTTCATCGCCGATTCATCCTCTCTGTGTATATCTTTTAGTAAAGCAATGTATGGGGTATATGCACGCAAAAACAATGCATGCAAGACTTCATAGCCAGTACTGCAACCACCAACTCAACATCTCATGTCATATCCATCCTTTCCCATCAATCACACCAACCCAGCAGTAGTTGTACGCTTAAAAACCTTATCCCATATCCTTCCATATTCACGTAAAGAAAGAAAATAAAAATTAATCCCCCGACTCCATTTCATAATTTTTCCTTCCTCGTTCTTATTTCGTTGTCCTCTCTCCTCTCCCCTATCCATCTCGCGACCCTCCCACCTTCCTTTTCCTTCCAATTTACAAACTCATCCACCCAAACATTCCTGTCATTCCCACCAGAACTACAGTCGTAACCATTCCAGCTCCTACCCTATCCCCTGTAGATGGCGGTTTGACGGCATCCAAACTCGTCGTGCTCCCACTACCCGCCGCACTATTTCCCACACTAGTTCCACCTGTACTGTTCGTAACCGGAGCTAGGGTGTGTTGAACGAGATTTACAAAAATAGCACTCATGGCTGCCATTTGTTGTCCTACACCAGAGGTTCCATCCCAATCTGTTCCTTTGCTCCAACTTAATCCACACGTTCTACCATCAAATGGACTCGGACCTGAACATTGTTTTGCTGCTGCGACTGCAGATGCTTTTAAATATGGCATGATTAGATCATAAGTGTAAGGGGCCATTTTTGTGGTTCCGGCCAACCAACGAGTGAGGAATGCCTTGAAGGAAAACATATCAGTTGTACATGAAAGTTTTGCTTCGCATGCAATTTCGTAGGCGATATCACCGGTAGGGAAGAAGTTTTTAAATGTAGCATTGAGAAGTCCATCGACACGTTCTTTCCAAATTGCGGAGCCGTTTGTCTACTCCTATGTTAGTATAGAAATCTGAGGGTATCAAAGATCGGAAGGGAGAAAAAAAGAAACATACATGATTATACATGGTAGCTGCACCGAGTAGATAGACCCCCGAGTTGTAAGAGAATTGAACCTTGTTAATATCCGTACAATTCTCTTCAACGTGGGCACCATCATAAATGTTATAATCTTTGTCCATGTATCCGACACTTGTGACCCAATTCCATGTTTCCTCAGCATATTGGGCGTATGTTTCGTTGTTGGTGTATCTTGCGAGTCGCGCCCCAATATTGAAGAAACATCCATTTGCGATAGAGTTTTTATAATTGTAACCCGTAAGATATGGATAAACTTGCCAACGTAAACTATCAATCATTAGTCCAATCCCCTCTCCCAATCTCAAAGTCATAGAAGCTTACCCTCCACCACAAGTAGCATTATCAATTCTCACTGCTTGAGTGTTGAAAACTGCTTGAGCCAAAGCCAACCAACCTGGTCTGTCCGAAGGAGGATCCGGGAATTTCGTTTCCGCAGCAGTCATAGCTGTCATTCCCCAAAATCCTTGATCATCATTTCCCATAGATTGTGACCAATTCGCAGGCATCATATCGTTATTTGCCCCAGTTTGCCATTGGATACCCGCCATCGCATCATCGTTGTATGAGGAATCGCCAGTATAGTACCAATAATCGATAAGAGACCCCCACATTGCACCGGATTCCCACCAATAGTCTAGACAACGGATATGAAAATCAGTTCCACACTCCTATTTTCATGTCGCATTTACATTTGCGCAAAGTCGCGAATGGAGAAAAAGGAAAGAACTCTAAACTCACAACCCCAAGAAGGATTTGGTGGAGGTCCAGGTAAAACTCCAGGTATTCCTCCCGATTGATTTCCCTTATAGTATGTCATCATATCGTATGCGATTGTCGCAGCCGCATTCTTTATCGAAGCTATATTGAAAGACAAAAAAAGCCAGTTAGCAAGTCTGATTCTGCAGAGTGAAAGACCGTGTTCGAATGCTCGAATGGAGATTGTAACAAACATACTATCGTCATCTAGATTTAATTCTATCTCAGCATTAACCCTTGAGGAACTGAGTAGGACTGCCGTCGCAGCCGATAAAGCGAAAGTAGGAAGCATTTTGTCCAAAGTTTTTCGATAGCGTGTAGTGTGTAGTCGGTAGTGTGCAGTGTGTAGAATGTAGAATGTAGTGCGTCGTGTGTGTTTGTAAATATAGAAGAGTCGATGCTGAAGTTGGCAATCCTTAAGAGGGTTGTAGGATTCACTCAATCTTATAGAAGTATCCTTCCAAAAAAGGCTCAGATCAATTTAAGAAACGAATGGACGTCGAATGCTTCTTTTTATGTTGCAAATTTCCCTTGTGGTGATAATCCATCAATTTGAAAAGAGAGTCATTGAAAGAGTTGTAGAAGTAAGTGACAATGAGACGACGAGATGGAAAGGTGTGATAGAGTCAAGAAAGAGAGAGGGAAGAGGGAAGAGGGAAGAGGGAGGAAGAAGATTGGTTGTAATGAGTGAGAAGTTAGTGGTGAGATAATCTCAGATGGATTCATTGGAGGATAATCCCAAAGCAGAGCAAGGTTCATGTAGCGCTTTCTCTTTTGATTCGCAGCTGAACGGGTTTTTATAGGATCCTTCCCTTCCTTCCTTATGTTGTGGCTTGTGGGCACAGCCTTTAATTCAATTTTATATCACGAGAATTGAATTCAATCATCCAAAAGTACCGGATATCTACTATTACGATGATACCGTTCTACAATTCAAGAGATCATGCATATCACTTCTCTCAAAGATTATCTTCTTTTCTCCATGGGGGCAAGCGTCCAGACCCCCATAGCTCGCTGCGCTCGAAGGGTTCTACTGTCAATCTAATCTAGGTGCCTTCACAGTAGTAATCCCTAGAGGACCAGCGGAACATCAAACACAAAGCAGATAGAAAGGATTCATACTTCGTCTAACAATATAATAATGTACGATAATATCTACGACAACCTCCAGTAGAGCAACAGTCATTCAATTATTTGCGACAACATTAGGAGGATATCCATTAAACATCAACAAAAGCTTTTCCAAGCCCTTTCCATCCTCTCCAAGCTTTTCTAGTCAACCCTCAAAACCATCAAGCCTTATATTGTTGCAAAGCCAAGAAACCCCCAAAAAGATTCTTTTTCTCGTCCGTCTGTTCAAGAATCCCCGAAATCCCTGAAATCCTAGAATCCCTCTCTTTAAACCCTACCTAGGTATTCTATCTGATTTTTCTCTGTGCTGTAGAGTCCAGCCTACAAAGTCCACCTAATTGCGCTTTGGTTAAGCTTATCCTTCGCACTCCATTCTTTTTCTAGGTTCCAACACACCTTCAAAGTTTTTTCGGCGGGAACATTGAACATGCAGCATGGATCCCCCAAATCCCCATCACATCGTATCGTATCGTGTCGGATCGTATAATGACATTCATGATGAAATTATGGGCTATGGGGGGGTGAAAACAAGATAAAGAGTGGCCCTGATAAAGCTGGGGTGGATCTTGAATACCTACCCTACGTACACAGCGGGGTTCACTGCATCAATCACTGATTCATTATTCAATGAGTTCACGGTTACATTTGCCCTTCCTTTACTGCCCAGGTGATGAATGGGAATATCTATTCAATCAAGAACATCTCCCCAGATATATGCATACATATACATGTAAGTACTAGATGTGTATGTGTATCACCCTAACCGATATCCCTGCTACGTGCACGACCCTACTATGTGCACACTTTTATTATTTATATAGAAAATTGAATTAAAAATTGAAAAAGCGATATTATAATTTTAAATTCAAAATTGAGATAATTGAAATAAACTTATATAATATTTTGAAATAAAAAAATTAAAAATCTCAAAAATTACAATAATAATAATGATAAATAAGATATTAACTTTTATAAAAAAAAATATTTATTTATTAATATATTTTATAATATAATTAAAAATATAAGTTTTTTTTAATGAAATTATGAGATTCCATATATTATAATATAAGATATTTGAAAAAAACTAAAGTTTTTTATCGAAACTTTGAAATTATCTTAATATTAAATTCTAATCTTTTTATAAAAAAACTATTTTCATACTTAATTCTTCCTCGAATAATGAATTTATAATATTTTATTCTATTTTTAAGTTATATAATAACATAATCTTTTAAAAACAAATATAAATATATTAAAATATATAGTTTATTAATATATATATTTAAATAAGATTTATAAAAACTTATTAAGAATTGATTTAATCTAATAATAAATATATATAAGTTATTTATTATTTTTTTGAGAAATTCAATTTTAAACCTTTTTGTTATATAGTTTTTAATCATTATTAAAGAATGAAACTATATGATCAGATTTTGATTTAATAAAAAATTTAAATTTGAAGTTAAATTATTAATTAATATTAAATCAATTTTTATTTAAAATAATTTTTTTCAAAATGAATTAATAATATTTTGAATAAAAAAACTTCTTTTTAAAAAAATTTATTTAAAAGAATTTTTATATAATTAGAATCTTATTATATTTAATAGAATTAAGATTTAAATAATTTTAAAAATAAAATTTCAAAAATAAAAGATATTTTTTAAATAATTTCTTTTATTAATCAAAACTTTATATTTTAATATTTAATATAATTCCTTTTTAAAAACTTATTTTTTAAATCTTTAATATTAAATATAAAATTTAAATTCATTTTAAAAAATATTTTAACTTTTCTAAAATTATTATAAATCATTAGAAAAATCTAATAATCTATATTAAATTTGATTCTTTTTACTTTTTTGATTTTTTTGATTTTTTTATAATATTATTAATATCAAAAAATCTATAAAACTTTATTATAATTCTATAAATAGATTCTAATATATTATTTATTAAGAAATTATATATCAAGATTCTATATTCTCTTTATTTAATTATTCAATCAATTCTTAATTTAATAATTCGAAATCCTTATAAATCGAAGTTGATAATATTAATTAATTATTGAATTAAATTTTATATTATTATAATGATTTTTAAATTTTAAATTGATTTTTGTTTTGATATAAAAAAAGTGTGCATATAGTAGGGTTGTGCACGTAGTAGGGATATCGGTTATCTATCGACTAGTTATTTTCTTCGCAAAACCCAAATGTTCTTAAATGACGATCCGTCAGACTAACAACTAAACCCCCGAGACCATCCCCTTGGCGCCCATCTCGCCCGTTCACGTTCATGCGCATTGCGTTCAGCGACGAGACCTAGTAAAAATATATCGTGAAATTATTTATTACCACTCGAGTAGGTGACATACAATCAGAAGCGTCCATACAAACCTCTCTGGAGATAGGCATCATGCATACTTGGAAACTTCCATATAACCTCACGCTTTCCCTTGTCATATTCACTCATATCAAATACCTACATATGTACGTACCCAGGTAGGTAGTAAGTAGCAGGCGCCTAATACCCCTAGAAATTCTGCTTTCCTTCATCACTTCCAGGGTCCAGTCCTAATTTAGACCCCATATTCTATCCCCCAAACCCCCATCGCAATCTTCCCAAGCCCGCCTATCTATCCATTTATCAATCAATGCAAGTAACTACCCGCATTCCTATTCCCGCATTCCACTTCCACTTCCTATTCTACCTCTCCCACGTTTCACCATCGTGAGTGCAAGGAATGTGGACATGTAGATTATGACGACACCTCATGTACATCTATGAATGGGATTAAATACCGTGGCCTTCATCATCAATGAAACGGTCGAGTGTTCAAGCGCTCTTTGAATAAACGGGTAAAGGGTGGTACAGAATGTAAAATATTATTCAACCTCTCGGCGTCAAGATTGTTTCTCAAAATTGTACAGATAGATAGCCTTGTCATCACAACATAAAAATCACTTCTCAAGTCACATCAACTGCCAAGCAAATATAAGTTCAATACTTTTTCATTGTTTGTAAAAGAAGGAATGTCCCGTTGTCTATTGCGACAATGAATCCATCCACTGTAATTCATGCTTGTTTAATTTAAAAACTCCATCTATGAAGACCGGTCATCGTGGTATTAATTCACCACCAAAAAATGCCGCAAAAGAAAAAGCAAAAGCTATAATACCATAATACCCCAATTTTAATGCTACCCACGTAATGCAAACCACGCGTTCTTCCCATAAACACAACCTATTTCATTTACAAGGCAGCTGCAACGGCAAAGACGGCTCCAAGGGCAATTGCAACAGATCCGGTAAGGGATGCTGCACCACCGGTGGATTCAGATGGGGAAGAGGATGATGATCCAGAGGCAGATCCTGAAGATGAACCAGATGAACCAGATCCTGAAGTGGATGTTCCAGTAGCACTTGATCCAGCTGAGGACTTGAGGGTAGAGGCAGTGTAGGTACCGTTAGTTGATCCACCAGCTGGGGAACCACCGGCTGAACCTGTACCACTTGGGGAAGCGGCACCTGAAACAGCAGAGATACCAGCACCCATACCGGTAGGAGAAAGACCAGAGCCAGCAGAGGCGACAGATCCTCCGGTAGCAACAGCTGCAATACCACTAGTAGCTTTGGAAGAAGCAGTTGACGAGGAGCTTGATGTAGTGTTGGAACAGCTGAGATCGAACAATGGGGTGGTGCTCAAAGTGCTACCAACAATACCGAAGGATGGGGTAACGGACGAGGCGGCGTTTTGATCTTGAAGAGTGTACCAGTACATGTTGATCTTTCCGAAGTTAGGGCATCCAACATCATCCCAGTATGTCTTGGCGTTATCAGCACTTGGAACTCCATCACCAGCAGTAGCACCAGTAACAGGCCACCCGGTCTCAGTAACCCAAACGGTCTTTCCAGTAGCAGATTGTGTAGCGGCTAAAGCGGAGTTGAAGAGAGACTTTCCTTCACTGACTCCATTTGCCTCAGTATCTTGGAAGTATGGGTAACTAAATAATATATTAGTTGTGAAACAGGAGATGGACAGGCTGCTAAACTTACGCATCCATTCCAACCCAGTCAAGGGCCTCTGCGACAGCACTGTTGGATCCGTTGACCCAGGCGGTCCAGGTGTCAACATGTCCAATGGAAGCTCCACTCAAACCAGTACCGGCAATTGCTTCTCTAACTTGTTTGATGTAGTCGACAAGGTCGGCTGGGTTGGCACCATAGCCAGAGTTGGCAGCGATACCAGTTGGGGAATTTCTGTACAAATCTTCGGATCCTACAGAGATACCAACGACTCGGCTAGTGAAAGCGGTACCATATTTTGTGATGGCAGCCTTGAGAGCGTTGATCTCAGCAGTAACACCGGCAGCTCCACCAGAAGCCCATAAACCAAGGAGAAGAGTTGTATCTGAGGCAATAGCAGCTGGAATAGCTGATGTTGGTTCGGTAGTGTCACCTTGCTTTAAAAGTTGTTAGCATGGGGAAAAATGCGAGGAGAGTTTCCAACAACTTACGAGCATAGTATATAATCTAGCAGAAGTGAAACCAGAGGTACCAACGAGAGAGTTGGCAGTCTCGAAAGCATCTTGGAAATCAGATTGAACTCTGTAAGA